CCGCATATGCTCAACGCATATGTGAGGCCCCATGTAGAGAACGCAAATCAAATTTGGCAACCCTGGCTAAAACGCGATCTGGCTGCAATGGAGACCCCACAGCAAAGGGCCGCCTAAACCGTTAAGGGATTGTTCCATTTGGCATACCAACTTCGAGTAAAACTCCTAAAATTATACGGTGGTACTTATCGTTGCCTGTGGGATAACCGCAATCTGACATATCAGATCTTGGAAAACCCCGCTTAACACGACCTGCTGAAACTCAGCCACAACACATAATTGGAGTGGGCCGCCAGCTGAAACCGGACACCCAATACAGCCGGATGGAATTGAGTCCAGAGATGATTTGCTCTTCGAATTTGTCGGCCGTGAAGCGCTCTTTCGACTGTTGTCAGTTCTTAGCCCACGCTATCAATGTATGTTGAAAGCGACATGACGAGGGATTAAATCTTGGTATTTTGTGACATGACTCCCGCCACTGGGTGCCGACAGGACGTAAATACTGTGCTCACCAGCCCCCAGGAAATTGGGTAGAAGGATTTACATGTCCGTACTTTGAGTGTTATGTAAACCATAGAAAGCATCCCACGGGACTTGTCAAGCCTCAGTTTGACTTTTAGCGTATTATATCATAATTCCATTGTTCGAAGTTTCAAGGGTTACGTGAACTCGTGAGTGGTCGCTTTCCCATAACTTATCGAAGTGCTCTGAGGCAACGGCTTTTCTGCATTCAGATAGACTGCACTTTCCCTTAAACACCTCCCCTCATCTAGTCGTAAGTGAACAAAATCTACATCATCCATCTATTGTGAACTGTTCCAGCAATTTTGTCCTATTATTTATCCGGATGCATGCATTATCTATATACCAAACAAAATGTCAGACACTGATTTCAAAAAGGTGTGAAGACGATCGACGATTACGTGTAAGACACACAGGCTCAGTTTCTTCGGCCTCACCCTAACTCAGGAGCCGGAGTACAATCAGCGAACCCAGGAAGGAAGACAAAAAGCACCAGGCTAACGCGGAATCATCCACTTCTTGTCAAAAGACCTTGAAAGCTGGAGAGTGGGGTCATTACAGAAATGAAACAGTCGTACACAGGACCGGACATCCGCTAAAGGAAGGCAAGTGAAGGTAAGAATCAATATCACGTTCAGGTTGTGGAGGTGGCACAGTTCCAAGAAAAGGATTGATAACAGGGGAACGGTGATTTGAAGGCATTTAAAAAGGGCTGGGTTTCTAGTGTGTGTTCTAACCCCGAATGAAAGTATATCTCCATTTGTGTAGTTCGGTCAAGCATCTCCTCGAAAGGCCAACTGTCCCAATGCTCTATGTTCTTAGGTAGAGAATACGCGCTTGGCAATTGAGTAGCGTGCGACGAGAGCAACGAAAAACATTACCGAAATCATGACAGTAATTTGATACACCGTGTCCCATTTGATCACATTATCAAAGCGGATGGAAGACAGAAGTTACTCTAGTCAGTCACAAAGCACTGCATGCATTAAAAACAGTGACGTAGGTGGGAATCGTACTTACCCAAACAAGCTGCAATGGTGGTTGGCGTTGTGTGCACAGAAATAATTGGCGTAATCAATAAGAATAACGGACTTGACTGCGCAATATTCACATTTTAACGGTACGTTTCACGAATGCAGCACCACTGACGAGAGCAATAGAAATGTAAACATACAGCGACCAATGACTTATCTATCCGACTAACGCATTCGAGTTAGACGGTAGGTGTTCCTCCAGCGTAACACGGGTGTGCAGAAATATTTCATGTAACTTATTTGAAAACGAGACACCCTCCGTCGTGTCGCGGTGGCCGAGTGGTTAAGGCGTTGGACTCGAAATCCAATGGGGTTTCCCCGCGCAGGTTCAAATCCTGCCCGCGACGTTCACGTTTTCAATGACCCGCACTGATGAAAGGGGATATACTATGAGAATCACCTACTGTTCTCCTGGTAGGCGACGGTTTCGCAGCATGCGGAGACTGTGTCATCGACCATCCGATGGCCCGGCACCCAAGTTGGCTGCAGCAAGATTTGTGGCAACAAAGTGGTGCGGTACCGCTGCGATTGCTTCCCTGGTGTGACTATTTCTCACGTGGAGCAATCGATCGCGTTTAAAGTACCCAAGAAGACTGGCTTTCAACGAGGCCTTACTTAGCTCTATCGCCCGGTTATGTGTGCCCACATTGGCTTTGAATGAGCATTTTGTTTCAATTCCGGTCCTGTATCTTCGCTTCTGTTTGGTTCCTAATTGTATTGCGTTCGAGGTGGATGACAGCAATTGAATTAATAACATTTCGCGACTTGTCTTCTTTCTGCGCTCAGGAGTGGATCCAGTTTGCAACTTATCCGATACCAGAATGGCCGCCATTTCTAGCTTCGAATATCTACGAAAGTACAGTGAGGTATTGCTTCGCTGCTCTGGAAGATCCTCAGCTCTCAACAAACAGTCAGGTGGAATTCTGAAGGTGATTTTGTGGCTGCTCGACAAAATTTCCTCCTTACCTTCGGTGCACCTCAGTCAAGGGACCTGGTGACACCGCTGACTGAGATGCCTTTGCTTTATATGGCCACAACACCCAGTGCGCATTGATACCAGGCTACTCATTAGTAGTGTGATTAAGCACCGTTGTTGACTGATGCCTGACAAACACTGCTGTTTCGGCTAGACAAGCAATTTGCGGGGATAAGAGGCGTAACTACCAAAATCCGTCATCATACTGCGATGAATGTTATGGGAGAGGAAGGCAGATAGAAAACTGCAGCTTACTACAAGGTTCAAATGTGTGACGGGGTATGTACTCAATGCACTACCGCAGAATTAGAGGAGACTTGATTCTCACTTACCGTATCTTAACGGGTAAGATTGGTCCAGATTTATCCTGGCTATTTAGTCCCGCCAAGCTGCCTAGTCTCCGAGGTCACCCGTTGAAGCTGCACAAACAGCGTTCTGACCGGGTAAGGACGGAAACTCGCTTGTCGCGTCGAGTTATTGAACGTTGGAACTCGCTTCCAGCGCACGTGGTTAGGGAGTCTACGGTAGAGGGTTTCGAGCGTCAATTAGATGCTCTAGGGTGGCAGTACCAAACCTTCCCCTTCTCCTAACCGACTTGTATCTTCCCATGGTATATCATTATTAGCTGACATTCCTCCTTTCTTTTCTTACTTACCTCACTCGTTTACTTCACCTAAACCAGCCTAGCAGGGACTGCTGGGAGGAAAGATAGAAGAAATTCCCCATTCTCTCCCACAGCACTCAGTCTAGACCGGAAAGTGGGTGTAACCTGAGGAAGAAGTGTAGATTGATCGACAGTGATCTTAGTCACGCACAGGTGCTAGCGTAACCCACAACTTCAGGTAGTCAAAAGGGAAGAGACACGTTAGTTCCACTTTCCCAGAGAAATCAACTTGGAATGGACAGTACACCAACTTCTATAGTGCGTTAGCACTTCAGTACAAACGCAATCTACTCCGCACTCATGCCTTCCGGGTAGACAGAATTTGCACACCGGACACAGCCACCAAAGAATTGTAGAGAATCAATGACGCCCTAAGAGAGAATGGGTATCCAGATAAAGTTATCCGCAAACATTTGAAAGAAAGCAAGATAAAAACAACCGAGGATGAATGTAGTCAAAAAAGGACTCGTATTTCCTTTTAAAGACAACAGCGCGTCTGATGCCGTGTCCAAACGCCTGAAAGATGCTACTGAAAGGACTTATTTCGCGGCTGGCCTACGTATAGCATACTACAACAAGCTGTTATTCACAAAACCATTGAAAGACAGGCTGCCACGACTCGATTAATGCCTGTTTATCAGTACTCGTGCTCCTGTGGTGCACGGTACGTGGGTTAAACTACGAAGCGCCTGTCTCACAGGATTCGCGAAAACATTCCGAAGTGGTTTCACAGAGGCGAAGCGAGGTCTTGTGACAGCTCCATCATGTTGCACCTATTAGAATGCGGTCACGCAAGAAAGGAAAAGGACTTCAGCATCATTTACGCTAATGCTGAGAGCTTTTTGCGCGGATTCCGGAAGCATCTCCTGTCTATTGCGGAAGCTATCTGTATCGGCCACCTCAAACCGGAATTGTGCGTACAAAACAGTTTGTACGTCCTTAGCTTCTACCGTGGCCTTCGGTTGTACATTCCTTTGATTGGTATGCCAGTTAATATTGGTTTGTTGAAAGTCATTTCCCTTGTACATAATTTGCCACCTTCAATGACCGCGTGATTTACTGATCCGTTCTCGTTGGAATTAAAAATTATGGTCAGTATGCAGCCCTATCCGGCACATTTAACAAGTTGTCGTCATTATGTAAAGTTTGAGTCTGATGAGAATTACCGGAAAGAATTCTTAACTCAGAAGCTACTTTCGTCAAAATAAAATCAGTCGTCAAGAGAAGTTATAACGAAAGTTGGCCTGGTCAACCGGATAAAAACCCTTATACTTCTCTTCATCCATACGCGATCACTGCCCGAAGGTGCAGGACCGTATACTTGAGTGGCATTTGAGCACTTTCTCCAATTTCGGAGATTTTTCATGCTGAATGATGCTGATTTAGCTCTGTGTCGTCGATAGTCCAAAATGCTCCCATTCGGGAACATACAGCTCACAATGAGTTAAATAGATGGCGAGAGGCGGTGAGACAGAGAGTTTATAGACCTTCAAGGTCGTCCACTTGCAACACGGTAATGTGGACACCAAAAATATCAGAAACCAAATAAAAATTTCAAGTTATGCAACTAGAGGGTCAAATTATGCAACATCGGAATGGCGTAGATTGGAAGACAGTAGCAGATGATTTGTTTCACAGATAAAAGCTGTATCGCATAGGAGTGGAACGGGGATAGAGGTAGGCCACCTGGATAAGCAGTAACTACACATGAACATCAGGTGGACACACGCCTAGCGAAACCATGAAGCGTCAATCTACCTCACGAAGGAGAGTAAATCATAATTTTGAGGAGTACCACAGAAAGTGTGATGTGTTTATGAAAAGATCACAGTATAATTGATGAGTCTGGGATGCATGCATCTTCATTAGATGATTTCGCTAGCACATCGATCTATTAGATGTAATAGTGTTGGCCCACTTTTGCAACTCTCCTGTGCCCTGAAGTTGACGTTATTTCGCATGCCACAGGGCAGAATCGAGACTTGGTCTCCAAATCTATGGCAGATACCTTCAGCTGTATGACATATGTACCGCTCATAAAGAGCACTGCGCAACATTTTCAGCAAGTAATTTTATATCAAAGAGAATCACATAAGTATGTACAAAAGCTGCATGATAGTGACCGGGGAGAAGAAGCGAAAAAGGTACAACAAGGTTGCGAGGTGCATGATCAGGAAGATCCAGATGGATCGAAACCAAAGTAAACTGTGTTCGAGTCAGCGGATGATGAGGTGGAACATATGGCGGACGAGGTCACATGGTCTTCCGATGCGATCGGTCCGCACGATGTCGGTTGGCCGATTAAATAACCCACCGAAAAGTTGGAACATGAGTCCGCCACCGATTGATGGGACGAAGTCGATGGAGACAGACACATCGAAGTTGAGTACGGTGGGAGTGATTCCAAAGTGGTGGTACAATTCCACATAGGGGAGAGAAACTGCGGACAACCGGTATGGGAGTCACACATGATAAATTGTACAGGAATTGGACGGTTAGAATCCGAATACAGATGTGGATGGAAGACAATCGGTTCACTGCCAACGGAACTGGAGGATGAAGAAGGTAAGAGGTTAGAAACGGGATTAAGATCTTCATTGGGAACAAAGGTGCCACTGCCGCTGCTGCCTTGCTCGATGACACTATCTGTAGCAAAAGAGACAAATGCGGATTTCAACTCCTGTGAGGCTGGCGGTGGTGGTGTCGCGGAGGCAGATGCAGGATGATGAGGACGATGGGCAGGAGAAAACGACCCAGACACGGGAGAAGGAAATCGTGGGGAATCTCGGACTGATGATACTCGGTCGATCGCGTTCGCGTTGGACAGCAACTGAGACACCTCCAAACTTTCATTGCTGGGCGCATTCTCGGCCAACACGCAAGAAGTTGGTTGCGTTTCTGCTTTACCGTGAAGCGGAGCTATCAGATGAAACGGCATTGTGACAACAGAAGGCTGTATCGAGCGTATATCACACTCAATTGGTCGCCATATATGAGAAAGAGTATCTTCATCACTTGAACTAGCAAGCTTAGTTGGAGGCAACAGGCCGGTCACATTAACCGAGGCAGCATAACAGCCATAAGGCAGTGAAGAATCCGTGGGCGGTTTCGACTGAGCCTCAAAAGGAGCATCTGGAGAAGCCGACCAACCGTTTTGAGATACAGTGGATTCGGTGGACGGAAAATGATTCGTGATACGAATTGGGAATAGAGAGGCCAAAGTGATTGAAGGTAAAACAGTTTTCTGAGCGATGCTGATCGTTTCTGAAACATTACTCTCCAGATCGGCAGCCGAACGCGCGGATACGTAGTCTCCAGTGGAGCCGAGTGTAGCTGACTGGTCATCCCCAATCTTGAGCGAAATTGCCTCACTGATGGCAAGTGACGTGGCAACGGAAGCGTCGACCTCCGCTGTTACATAAGGCACGAAAATCGTGCTCAAAGGGATCATGTTAGCCTCGGTAGTGACAAGAGCTGTAGCGCCGAGAACGCCGTTTTCAGCGGTTACGTGCGATTCCGATTCGATCGATGACGAGACCGACAACACACTGGTGGAGACATCTAGGTCTGCGGAGCTCATTGAAACATCATTATTCTGGTAGGAAGGAGAAAAGTAGGGAATGGTTGTAAATAGTTGCCATACGTTTAGTAATCTAATGTAAGCAATGATAATTGGCCTTATAACCAATGTTCAACCTGGCAATCAAGGCACAACGCGACATCTCAAGCGGTAGGCGGTGACCGCCACAATGTGTGCGGGAAGCTGCAATTCTTCGACAGTGATGCGAGAAGTGACCACTAGATTCAAACTTGAGTGCAACAGACGCAAAACAAACCGCGACAGAATCAGGTGGTACCATCTATTAGAGGATGGCCCGCCTCCTCCGTTCAGACTCTAGTGTAAAGCAGTGACGAAGGTAATTGAGCATAGGCAGGCATCAAGTCATCAGCAGTAGGCCAATGCGAAGCGTCGAAACTGTCAGGTGACCGCCACCAGCCGCGCGGGGGCTAGGAATACCGTGCGGTCAGAAGCATTTAAGCAAATTCGAACCAGTGACAACAATTGAGTGTTGCAAGGCGGGTATCTGCTAACTTTTGGCAACCGACACTGGTTCGTAAGTTAACGCAACCGTCGTCTTGCTGGTGAGTGACGATACGTAGTTTTGTTCGATTAAACTAGTCAACTAAGACGGAATAGTCGAAGTACGGTTGATCCGGTTTCAGAAGCCAGATTATTATGGAAAAAACATAATAAATATGGCATGGAAAGAAATATGGGAAAAGCAAACAACGACAGTTTAGGAGAAAATGAGCAGAAAAAACAATCCGCTGATGGAAATCCTTATGAGTAGGACTAACCCAAGAGTATAACTGTCTTTATAAATACACCAAGTCCGAAGAAGTAATCAACCATCAGTGTGGCCAATCCTATAGGACTCATCAATAAAGACATATGTGAGAGATCAAATCAAGATAAATGAGTGTTGGATTAAGAATTCTTTTTGTGTAGACTCTTATCGGACCCAAATGTCTACAGAGCAAAGATTAGGTGTTGTTAGCGTCAAAACAGGCTGAAAATTAATTGCTGTGTTGTTTGAACAGGCAATCGATAGCTCAAGGTTAGGCTGTAGATAGAAAACAAAGGAAAAAGAAGCACAACATCGAATCCCGGATGGCTACCAAATGGTTAGGTAACATCGTCCGTTGGTCAAGGAAATAATAACGGACGTATATACCGCTTCTGTGCAAACTGTTCGGGCTTTAGATGGCGGATGTAAATAGCCTCAGCGATGGATAGGAGGTACTTACGGAAAACTTGTGTGAAACGTTCAGGTAGTGAGTATAGGATATTGAAGTCATCCCCAGGAGCTGTTTGGCCAAAATCAAGGTGTGACAGAAGAGAGCTGTTTGAAGATCCCATCTAGCATTTGTAGAACTGGGCCGAAAGGTGCTTGCGAATCCTCCGAGATAAGCGCCTTGCAGTACGACCCACGTATCGTGCGCCACAGGATAACGAGTACTGATAAACGAGCATTGAACGGGTCAACGAGGTCAACTCATCCTTCAAGAGTTTCGCAAGCAATGGCTTATTGTAGTAAACAATTCTCAATCGGGCCTCGAGATAAATCTTCTCAACAGCATCTTTCAAGCATCGCGATAGACTATCAGCAAAAGAATCGCCCTTAAATGGTAAGTGCATGAACAGCTCTCTTTTAGGAGCAATGCTTTTAGGAAGCCATTCTGATTCACCAAGGTTTTTGAATGGGTTTCTGAAGTTCAGTACACGTTTAGAAGAGTCCAGATTGGAGTTGGAATTCTTCAATGAATGCGTACAACCAAACCGCGATGTGGCCACAATGTAAACGCGAAAACCTTAAAGAGGCATACGCTTAACTTTGTGGATACCATCCGGAGCTGGAAAGATTTTTTTCCGAACGCTTTCCCGCAATGTCAGACTTGCCTGATGAGCTGAGAATGCCTTTTAAAGAGTATGTGGAGTTAGTTAAGTTGAAAATGGATGTAAAGAGACGAAAAAAATTATTTAGCACGTTGAATAACCGGGTCCCACAATTAACTATCCCGAATAACCCGGAACGGTGTGTTTAACATTTCCAGTGTGCTACTAAGTCACACACAGCTGAGTTTTATCGTTAGCCCTAAGTTTTGCATAGCATGTAAGAAAAGAGATCAGACAGCTGTAGAGGTGCAGTTTGAAAGTATAATGGCACAGATTAGAGATCTATGTTCAACATCATCGAGTGCCGTTGAGAATCTAAAGCTTAGTCTAGTGAATATTTGCCACGAATATGTTAGGACCAAAGCATTTAGTAATACAGTCACTTAAGGAGCAAGTCTAACAAAGAATTAATAATTTGTAAGCCAGACAAGGTTACTGGTGTCGTGTAAATGAGTAAGACTGATTATATGTGTAAAATGCAACACATCCTTAGTGATGAGCGCAAGTGCCAAAAGTTCATAGCAGGGAAAGATAACACAGAGGAGTTAAAGAAACAATTAGCTGGCTGCATCAGACAAATGATGCAAGCAAGTCTTATCAGGAAGAGGGAATTCGAAAAGCTGAAGCCTTCAGGTGGACACGTTCCAAGGTTATATGGTCTACCTAAGGGGCACAAGGAAGGCGCCCCAATGCGTCCAAACTTGGATATGGTGGGATCTCCCCGGGCATTTGTTGACCCAATGGATGGTGGAGAAGCTACAGCCGTTACCGAACATGGGCTGCACTTACTGCGTAAGAGATTCCTTTGAATTCATTGAGAGGATAGCCTAACTATTAATCTTGCTACTAAAAGGATCATTTGATGAGCAGTCGCTGTTCACAGATATTCCGCTGCTCGAAACTGTGGAGTACGTGTGCGAACTGGCTCGACGAATGTTCACGTCTAAATGTTAAAGAAAACACCAAGAGGTCGTATCGGGTACTTATTCTCATGCGCGTGAAAATGGCTGTTAGCCTGACCTCCAAACGAAACCCATGCACATTTGTAGTACTATTGTCCATGAGATGTAATGTGTCTCTATCCAGTCTGTGGCAGTTCATACCTTAGTTTGGAAGAATGTATGTGCACGGGACACGGATGACGCTAATCCATTTATATATGCATACCGAATGAATTTGACGAATACTCATACCGCCTTTGTACGGCCAACTTAATGCAGGGAAGCAGCACTCGGGCAAACCGAACTACCATTACCAGTACATGAACAAGGTGAGTGTATGACGAACTAATGTTGATTTCGTGTGTTGAGGATCAAAGGTAAAGTTGATCGGTGCGAAGTCCATGGGCTGATCAAGAGGGCAGTTGCCCAGGTGCAAGAGAAGGCATTATTGCACGCGGAAGAGAAGTGCGATGCGTACGCACCCATTCGATTTACTAATTCAGGCCAATAAGGCGGCGTTTGCCTACGTGAGTATTCTTGCATTTCAGGTTAGATGTTGATTGAGCCCGGTGGTGTGGCCGTGAATGTTGACAAGGTGCCTACCTGTCTAACACCCTGCACATCTATTGCAGGCTTCAGGAGACAGTTGGTCGTTGCTGAAGTGAACGGGGTGCACTGTCCTCGTGACGGTGCTAGGTTCACAGAGTGAAGGTGATGACGCCGCCGTTGACAATAAGGTCAAACCACAGTTGCAACAGCAAGAAAGGGGAATGGGCGATATCAATCGAATCCGTTAACTACCAGGATACAGATAAGTTGAATACCTGTGAATCGGGCACCAAAGTGTGGCGGATCTAAATGTCCCGACTCATGTCGCCATAATAACAATAAATCACGTGGCGGAACTGTAAGCTATCAGGCGTGCCCCTAGGTTGCAGACCGGGGAATGCCTTCCTTGTGGAGAGAACTGCGAATAAGTCTCGTCTGCATTGCAGGCGACATGAATAAGCAGTCGCGAACAATCAACGACAGCGTCTCAGAGCTTGGGAAGTTCGGGGTTGGTCATCTGATTCTCCATTAAATACTACAAGCGCTTGTACGGCGCTGTGTCAAAGTCAATGTGACCGAGCTATAGGATCATTGACCGCTTACTTCTGTAACTGGATGTGAGTATCTAACGGAAGGTGGATGTACATCTTTGTTGGTTAGCGGCTTGTTGGTGGACTGCCATCGAACACAAAGCAGGCAAATGAGTCACCTGGCTGCCAACGGTCTTCGTATTGGCCCCGCTGCCTTGCGGGTCAGGTTTTTAAAGCCTGGGCAAGCGGGAAGCTCTCTGCCCACACATCACATAGAACTTTGCATCCTTTCCCCTGACTCCGCATCCTCCCTTTTATTATTGTTGCTCATGTGTTGTAGCACTGCACCAAGTTGTGGGAAACCGGAAGTGACTAACCGATGATGTTGCATTTAAAGGCATGGGGCAATTATCTGAGAGACTTGGCCACACTGGTGGTTGGCGGCCTCGGGATGGTCCACACCAGTGGTCAGAGACTCTATCAGACATGGTGCAATCGTGGCAGTCAGTGACGTTCCTGCATTCGATTTCTTGCATGTTGCCGTTCATTTTCATTCCATCTACATTGGGTTAACTTACTTCGTCTTGATTCCATTTCATTTTTATTCTAATTTTACTCGGCCTCATTTTCTTATGGTTGTTATTTATGGTTTATACATACATACATACATACATATATATATATATATATATATATATATATATATATATATATGCCCCATGCTGAGACTGATGTTGCCTTCTTGATGCTTCTTCACCGCAGTTGGGCTAAACCAACTTACACTTAAATTAAGTCTTTTAAGCTGAACAAATTTCGTTCCACTTTAGTTGGATTGTTCTGCCTACCTGAATAATCTTCTATTAACTGGCCACGTTGCTTACGCTAATTGCGCTTATCTTCGGTAACTTCGTTGCGTTTGTAGCATTCTTAAGTAACTTGGGGACATTTCTTACTTATCGCTGATTCCTTGCTAACCAACTTACTTCATATGCTAATTTAGCGAAAAGTTATGCCACCGTATCTGTACGCATCATTGGATTTATTTTATTTCACCTTGTCGTTTCAAGTGATTGGCTGTTACTTGATATCTCCGGTGTGGCTGCGCTTGATGTGTATGT